TTTTTTGTAGACAGAGTCTTGCTCTGTTGCCCAGGCCGGAGTGCGGTGGCGCAATCTCGGCTCACTGCAAGCTCCGCCTCCTGGGTTCACACCATTCTCCTGCCTCAGTCTCCCGAGTAGCTGGGACTACAGGGACCTGCCACCACACCCGGCTAATTTTTTTGTATTTTCAGTAGAGACGGGGTTTCACCATGTTAGATAGGATGGTCTCAATCTTCTGACCTCGTGATCTGCCCGCCTCGGCCTCCCAAAGCGCTGGGATTACAGGTGTGAGCCACCGGGCCCGGCCAAATCTAATTTTTAAAAATGCATTTTCTGTTTCTTACTGTATTCCAAATACACTATTCATCTTTCACAAACAACTCAGTCTCTTATTGACATCAAATAATCTTGGATGATCAAGAATGCAATTTTCCTATGTTAATATCTCTGAATTTGGGAGCTGTTATAATCAGTGATGTGTTATACTTTAATTGGCAGCAGTTTTTTATTTCTTAGAGCTACATACAAAATTGATGACATCTTAAACTTAATGAAAAGTTGTATTTTTCACACTATATACTTCAACTTTTAATTATGCACTAATTTATACATACTAATCATATAAATGTGTCCTTAAAAGCTGTGTCTTTGTGTTATACTCACTTTGTAATAGTAGCCATTGAATCCTATTTGTCCAACACAAAGTTTGGCATATAGTAATCAATAAATGTTTGTTAAACAAATGAGTGAATAAATTTGTCAATTACTTAGTTTTTTTGCAAATGTATGTATACAAAACATCTAAATATATCTATATTTAGATGTGTGTGTGTGTATATGTGTATATATACACAGTCATGCATCACTTAACGGCAGAGATACATTCTGAGAAATGCATTGTTAGGCAGTTTTGTTGTCGTGTGATCATAGAGTTTACTTACACAAACCTAGATGTATAGCCTACTATACAAACATATACAAACTATACACACATACAAACCTATATGTATAGCTATATGGTATGGCCTATCGCTCTCAGGCTACAAACCTGTACAGTGTATGACTACATCGAATACTGTAGGCAATTTTCACGCAATGGTAAGTATTTGTGTATCTAAACATAGCTAAATATAGAAAAGGTACAGTCTTATAGGACCACCATCCTATACGTGGCCCATACTTGACTCAAAAGTTATGCGACACATGACTAAAATATATGTAAATATATACAGACACACACATATATATGTGTGTATATATATAGAGAGAGAGAATAGTTAAGTACATATAACGAAGATCCAAAAATACAAACGTACATAAGACAGAAGTTTATTTCTCTGCAGCAGTTGGTGAGTATGCGGGGAAAGCAGGTGGCTGTGCCCCTCATGGTCACCCAGCCTGTTGGGTTGGACAGGACCCGTCATATTCTATGCAAGCCTTCTATTTCTGGTCCAAAGGGGCTACGCTATTTGTTTCCATTTCCAGGCAAGAGGAAGGTATTTTTTAAAGGATTCAGAGAAAGTTTAACTTAATGCACCAAAACTTGTACAAATCATTTCATCTCATATTCCACAGGTCTGAACCCAGTCCACTGGAGACAGCTAGCTGCGAGGGAGACTGGAACGTGTAGACTATAGCCCCAGGCAGTCACTTGCTAGTTTAAAATTCGGACAGTTCTGTTTTTTAAGGAGGAAAGAGAAAATGGATATGGGGTGGTAATCTCAGTAAGAAGTAAAGGTTCTTGACAGAAGTTTGCTTCTTTTTCCATTTCCTTATGATTTTCTCATAATACCTAGGAAAATATTTTATGAGACAATGAATATAACTAATACAGGTTGAGTATCTGTATCCCAAATGCTTGGGACCAGAAGTGTTTTGGCTTTCGATGTTTGTCAGATTTTGGAATACTTGTATATATATGTGCATAATGAGATATCCTGGGAATAAGACCCAAGTCTAAACACAAACATTGTTTATGTTTTATAAATACCTCGATTACATTCCCTGAAGGTAGTTGTATACAATATTCTTAATAGTTTTTTACACATGAAACAAAGTTTGTATACATTGAACCATCATAAAGCAGAGGTGTCAGGTGTAGAATTTTTCACTTATGACCTCATATCAGCACTCGAAAAGTTTCAAATTTTTGAGCATTTTATGTTTTAAATTAGGAATGTTCAACCTGGGTTTCCTTGCGTACTTGAACATTAGAAAAATATTAATTTTATTTCAACAATATGTACTAGTGAATATCATTTTGTATAATCATATCATATGTTGAAACAGTTCATCCATTCATTTGGGATTTATTGAGTTCTTGTTATGTGGCAGGCATTGAGCTAAACCAGTGGTTATTCTATTGTTATTTTTAGTCACTAGATGTTCAAATGGAGAGGTACGATTTTCATAAAGCACTATAAAATAATCTTTCAGTATGAACATATTTAAGATTCAGTGTAAATAAATGGTCATGATGTATCAATAAATGTTTCTCTCTCCCTTGATAGGTTCTCCGAGTAGTTCGGCTGATTAAGATTTCACCTGCATTAGAAGACTTCGTGTACAAGATATTCGGTCCTGGAAAAAAGCTTGGGAGTTTGGTTGTATTTACTGCCAGCCTCTTGATTGTTATGTCAGCAATAAGTTTGCAGATGTTCTGCTTTGTCGAAGAACTGGACAGATTTACTACGTTTCCAAGGGTAAGAATTTTTAAAATGCAGTACGTTAAATTCATTGTTCTTATTTTAGTAATAATGATTAACATCAAAGTAATTTCACTTTAGCAGTGGTTCAGAAGTATTGTCCTATTTTTGATAACTTGGGATAATTAGATTTTAATATTTAAAATGGTCTCTTCTGCAGCGTGTAGGTGTTTGAGACCATTTTCAGCATTGTCAGATTGTATATCAATTCTAAAATTCTGGAAATAATCTAATAGAGTTAGGTGCTGAAACCTGAATGCTAGGGTTCTTAGCACCTATAAATTAAAATACAGGAGAATTTTAAAATAAATCTTGCATTTTTGTGTTCAAAAGAGTTGACATATTTTTAATGTTTTATGGCTTACATATTATGTTAGAATCTAAAAGGAAGCTTTTGGTTTTCAATAAAATAAAATTCATAGACTCTTCAGAATTTAAATGTCTCTCAGCTTTCTCATTAGAATTCACTTAGGCTAAAAAGGAAGTTAGAAATTAATGGATCCATTAACAAAACTCGTGAAGGAGATACAGAAGGACCTTGAAATTTAACTCCATGTGGACTTAGAAACGTAAAAAAATACAATGACCAGACAAAGAATGTATATATTTTTACCCTAAGTTGAAATATTAAAGCCTATTATATGGTGTATTAGTCCATTCTTAGACCACTGATAAAGACATACTCGACTAAACTGGGTAATTTATAAAGAAAAAGAGGTTTAATGGATTCACAGTTCCACATGGCTGCAACGGCCTCACAATCATGGTGGAAGGTAAAAGGCATATCTTACATGGTGGCAGTCATGAGAGAATCAGAGCCAAGCTAAAGGGGAAACCTCTCATAAAACCATCAGATCGTGTGAGACTTATTCACTACCACGAGATCAGGATGCGGGAAACCGCCCCACGATTCAATTATCTCACACCTGGTCCCTCCCACAACACCTGGGAATTATGGGAGCCACAATTCAAGATGATATTTGGGTGGGGACACAGTCAAACCATATCATATGGAAGAATAATATTAGGGTAAAAACAGCATATATTTTTAAAAGTTAAGCTTTGACAGCAAAAGGGTCTGTACTTTTAATGGATAGCTTAGCTTTATTTTAGGGATTTTTTTTTAATCTTGTGCTAAATTTATTATTTAAGCTACCAGTGTTGGAATTCATCCTTTTATAATGCAGATTCTTCATTCATGTGCCGCCAAGGATTTGTCAAGTGCCTTTAAAGAGTCTGGTCATTTAGGTGATCTTGGGGATATAAGTCCTCAAGAAATTCTCAGTTGAGGGGAGGAAGCAGTAGGTAAGCACAGGGCACCACAGGCCTTGATGAAGGCAGACACCAGATGCTCTGGGGACCCAGAGGCAAGGCCGATTCCCAGGCATGGGAAAGTCCAGAAAGGCTTGTGGGAACAGGTGGCTCCAACGGCTGCATGTAACCAAAGGAAGTGCAAGGGCACAGATTCCCGTCAGTGACAGCATGTACTAAATGTCTGTGGTGAGCAAATCCTTGTTCCAGAACTTAGAGAGCAAGAACCATCAATGGTAAGAGGAGGACAGAAGGCCAAGGAACTCTGAAGTCGGTAGAAAGTGTGGTTGTATTCGTCATGCCAAACTCCTATCAGCTCTAATAGGGAAGGCACCAGGTTCAAGAGGCTGAAGAAGAGACCCAGAGCCGGGAGAAAAGACATGGGGTTTTACTGAGGGTTTGCATACAGGGTGGGAGTCCAATGGCTGCCAGCTGTTCAGGAGAACTGTACCTGCTTGCAAAATGCATGTAATTTACATAGCATTTTTACTTAGCACACTCTCCCAGCAACCTCCACGTGGAAATCTTAATTCACCCCAGGCTCGGGGCCTCAATTCCCTGTATAGCCAGTGTTCCACAGGAGGAGATGGGGGCTCAGATGTTCCTCATAGAAAAGGAACCAATCTCTGGGTTGGCCACTCCCAGATTCTCTAGCGCAGAACACACATTCAGGTGTGTCTGGTAAGAAGGGCCATTCTCAGGGTATGCTTGAGTTATTGCTTTCAGGTGCACTTACATACAATGTTTAAATGCTGATGAGAGAGGGCGAGTAGATAGTGAGGTTGGAGATGAGTCAGATAAGGAGGATGATGGCAAAGGTTCCTGCAGAGGTGGGAGAAGGCAGTACCCACAGCATGAGGATAAAGATCAGCTTTAGACAGGTATTGAGCTGACAGGTGTCGAGGTGATTCTCAGGACAGCAAGCCAAGCTAAAAGTTACAATCAAGCCTTCGTTCCCTCACTGCAACAGTACAAGCAGGAGGCAAAGGTAGGCACCACTCTCCAGCTCTCCAGCGTCCGGAGGTGTTGGTTAAGGGTCAGGTGGGTCAGCAGGCATGGGGAAGGGAGGGCTCTTTTCCTTGCTAAGCAGTCCTGAACAAAAAGTTCCAGCCATTCCTGCACCCAGGGAGGGGAAGCATAAGGAAGGGATAGGAGTAGAAAGGAACGGAGCTAGCATGGAGGAATGTGCCTCAGCTGGGCTCTGATCAGGAGGCCTCTGCATGGAGGCACCTGGTCTGGGACTGCAGCTATGGCCATGAGCCCAGCTGGCCTGGCAGGGCAGAGCTGACTCATAAATTGCAAGTCCCTCCAGAAATGGCAGTGCCCTGGTCATGCACCATGTCTAGGGTGGGGATGGCCGTGGTCCCCTGGGAGGTCTCCTAGCCAAGGCCTTGCCATTGCCTGTAATCAGGTCTGAATGGATCACACATAGGATTTTGGCCAAGAGCAGGACTCCTGGAGAGGAAGCTGGAGGGAGGCAAGCCAGGATGATAACCACATCATTAGGCCCACCTTCTCTGGGTCTGCCCCTTCACTGGGTAAACAAAAGGAGCAGCTGGCCATCTTTTCCATGGGAACATGGGATGGTTATTGTAAGAGTTAAGGAGGTAAGAAAAACGAAAAGCAGCTCAACAGTCAAAGACGGGTTTATTTTGGAGAATAAACTTGAGAGGGGCTTCTGGCCAATTTTGCTCAGAAGCATTCTGTCTTACAGACTAAGGGTATTTAAGGGTGTAGGAAGTGGGGAGCTTATTGCAGGTTCAGAATGTTTTTATGTGAGGGAAAGTTTATTGTGGGTTTGGGATGTCTGGTTGGAGGGGAGGCTATCTCGGGATTGTCATGTTTCTGGTTGGAGGGGGGTTATCTTAGGATTGGAATGTTTCCGGTGATGCTGAAATTAGGCTGATGTTTGGGGCTTGATTTGGGTGGTTTTTTAATCAAGGGGAACTTAAAATGGTGGTGTTTCTCCAAGATGACGATCTCCTGCTCTCTCAATCCAGTCCCTACAGTTATAAAAAGGAAGAGGGGTGGTATGTTCTTTCTGGCTACTTCCCGCTGAGCGGGGGTCAGAGGTTGTTTGGTTTTGGGTTGATTGTATGAGTAATGCCATCTGTACATGCTTTTGGGTAATTGTGAGATGGCCATGATCCTGTCAGTTAAAAAAAAAAAATCTCTGAAAAAGGTGAATTATCTGTAAGCACATTCGTCCTAGGCATATGATTAGGAGAGGGCCCAAGAATGGGATGGTCCCTGTTAGGATTTTGTTTCTAAACCAAGAATGTATGTGGTTGTTTTGGTATTCCTTTCGCTTTTTAGCCCTTTAAGTTTTTCAGCAGTATCTCTTACTAGGCCCGATTGGTTGAGGTAGAAAGCAACATTCCTTACCCAATGAGAGGCAGAGGCCCCCTTTTTCAGCCATTATAAGATCTAATCCCTGTCTTTGGAGGACTACTGCAGCCAAGGAGCCTAGTTGGTCTTGGACTCTTACAAGGCTTTGGGCTATATCTTCCAAAAAATTCTAAAGTATGTTAAGGAGTTGGCCCATCTGCCTGCTCCCAATCCAAGCCCGGAGGTTATACTTAAGGCGGCCATTAAAGGAATGACTTGGATGTTCCTCCTTTTTCTAACATATTGAATGAATGGAACAGGTAAAGATTGTTTAGGAGGAACTAGTCCAATGGAGGGAGAAAGATAAACTAGGGTACAGGTTCCGGTCCAGTACGTGGGGAGACAAAGATATGTGTTGGTACCACACAAAAAGAACAAGCCTTTGTCATAAATACAGGCAGAGATAGGGAAAGAAAATAAGCATATTAAAGATGGGGTGTTTTTTCTTTCCTGCGATTTTTTATTCCAGGTGGACAAGGAGGAGGCCAGGGAGACACCCACTATAGTAGAGATACAGGAAGAGTTATTTTTTTACACATTTAATGCAATCGGATGTTGCACCATTGATATTGAGCCACGGAAAAAGTTGGGCACTAAGGGGCAGCACAGGTTAGGCAGGGGGCATTGGTTGAGGGAGAGGCTGTAAACAAGCTGGTTGCAGAAATGCTCTATTTGTTTCCGTTGATACTTGGTAGTCAATGTGGTTACTTTGATGGTCAGAGGGGTGTTTAACAATGATAGTGTGGTTGCATTGGTTAGATGTTAAGGACCCTACAGGGAAATTTCCCTCCAAGGCTGAAAAGCAAAGTGAGGCTTGTTGTAAAAGGGGAGTGTGTTTAGTTATGGGCCCTTCCATGGGAGGGTCTTGGGGCTTAAGGCGTTGTAGAGAGTTGTAATAGGTTTGAAATACTTTGTTGGCCTGATTGGTCCTGGAAGTGAGATAATCTCAGAACAGGGTGTCCTCTCTTTCAAAAAATGAAGCTCCTTTTTGGAGTTTATAAGTAAGGGTTGTATTTCTTATTAAAAGGGGTGTAGGGAGGGCTGTGTACGCTGAGGAAGACAGTGATAAGCATATCCAGCACTCGGGAGCAAAGGAAGAGTTAGCTTGCAGCAAGAGGGATTGTGTAATGTTTACAGAGCATTCTAGTTTGAGAGCAGTGAGGAGTGGTTTTATTGGTGAGGTTGATAGGATTAGGGAATTTATATTGAAAGAAACAAGCAAAAAGAGAAAAAAGTTATTTGGGTAGGAGTAAACTCCTGGAAAGTTCCTTGAAGCCATAGGTGCCATAGAACAGTCA